GGGTGGTTACCATCTCATTTATGGGTTCTGCCTCTTCCTCCTCCTGTTCTCGTAATGGCCCTGGTTCATCTTCATCCCTTGCTAAATGAGTTGATTTTCTTGTGTATAGGGGCAACTGATGCCGGTTGGTTCTCTGGTTCAGCCACAGTGCCTGTCACAGGCGTTTGAGCAGCTGCGATGTCTGTCGCTGAGGTTTGAGTGACACAGCACTATACCAGCTACTAGGAAGAAAATTAACTCTATCCCAGCCGAAACCAGGACAATAAGAAAAGAGGAAGAAAGGCTATTTAACTAATCAATGTATTTGGCAATCTGCCAGCTCTTAGAAAGACAAGTTGTTAAATTGTTTATGTCCCTAAAATCTTCTCACTTAGAGTCTGTGGTCGAAGAGTAGTAGTTGATTCAGTGTGCTGACTGGCCTGTCTTCAGTGATCTGGAACATAATGTCAGCTTCCAAACTTTGCATTTTTTCCAGAGGAGTAACATAAATTTTTAAGCTAGAATTCCTTTTGACTTATGAAATAATACTTCTGTTATGTTTCCTTTTTCTAAAGAATGTAAAAAAAAAAAATATTTTTTTGTCTCACTTAAAGTGATTTTTTTTCACTGTCAAGGGTTAGTATTAAAATACTAATTCAGTTCATAGTCTGTGTGACCTGGTCATAAGTTACTATTCCATGTAACCTTAGAGGTCTCATACATCACTGATAAAGTGGGGAAGTTTCTTCAGTGGTCGCAATTTACTTTTCAGTTTCTTCACACTAGCCAAATTCTTATTGCCAAGTAGCATACACAAACTTTTCTCAGTAAGAAAATTACTGCTTTGTATAGACTTTCAGGGTATACCTAAGCCTAGATTTTTAGTTCTCATATAATTATTACTAAAATCACCACCTTCTTCTCCTTAATGTTCTAATAAAGTTCTATACTGTCTGTAAGAGCTTGAAAGAAGCAAGCAGTCAATTTTAAGATGATATATGAACTTTTATTAAAATGGGTATGTACCATAGGATTTTACTTTGAATAAAGCATTTCCTGATGTCATTTCAATGAAAGGCAGAGGAAGTTATCTGTACAGCCAAAACCAAGGTATGAAGACATTGTTAGACAATGTTCCTCACCTGAACTGAAAAAAAAATCCTTTTAATAATCCTTGAGTTAATGGTGGTCTTTCTTTTTTGAAATATAGATTGATATTTGTGCAGAAGAGCTGGGGAATAATGTGAGGCCAGCTGCAATGTTATTAGGTGACATAAACGCCGTGACTAAGCAGGTAACGTAATGTCAGGTGTCCCGTTTTGACCTTAATTTCCTCTGATTTATATAAAGTAAGTTACCAGTTAAAAAAGGGAAAAAAAAAAACTGTTCAAGGAAAACCATTTTTCAGGCAACATACTCATGCTGTGCATCCAGTCTGTTCCCAAATGAAATGTTAAAGATTCTGATTAGTGTTACTGTGATTGTGCTGGGAACTTTCTTGATAACGTTATTCTTGATGCTCGTGATGTTTTTTTTAAATATGTTGAAAGAAATCTCTGCAACATTTCAATGTTGTTCCAGCTCTTAGAAGAATTCAGCAAAAGACCATTGAAATATCCTTCTAATTCGGAGTGGTGGAAGAGGCTAAGAGAGAAAATAATGAACAACGAGGAAAGATCAAAGGTAGTGTTATATTAAAGAAAAGAGGAGGTTTCTTGCCTTAACAGGTACTGATACATAATCAGTTTTGTCACTGGTCTATATCCAAGCTTCTCAATTACTTCTGACAGTCATGTCACCCAGACTTTGAAAAGTTACACCATTCTGGTACAGGCTTACTCTTGTCAGGCTTATGAACTGTAAGTTAAATCTTAATACTTAACTGTAAGTTAAGTTTTCTAGGTTTTGTATAAATTCAAACTGTGTGGAAGTCATTGAACTTTGGGATTGGGTTCTTAAAAGCCAGTAGTAGACGACCACAGCTAGAGCTGCTGTATTATTGGCAGCAACTTCTAAGCAATGGGCAGGTACTCCAAGTACCTCCCAGTACTCCAAGTGGAAGCTGGCTTACATGAAGATGCATTCTTAGTTTTCTTCTGTAATTGTGCTGTTTAGCAATGCTGGTGGAAGTATAATCTGTTAAAAGCAAGTAGCTATTAAGGCCAGAAGACCACACATGCTTGGCATATGCCTAACTTTATGCAATTTGTATTCTGCAAGTTCAGATGCATGTTTCCGAGATTGGGATCTAAAATAAATTAATTCTAGCAGATCACTCTTTTGAACTGTCTCCCAGCACACAGATGACAGCTCACTTAGGGTTATCAATAGTCAAACCTGCGTGCAGAAAAATTTCATGTGCCTCTCAAGTTAACTGAGTTTTAATAGCTTCCTGTTAATGATAGGCTATCCAAGGGTTGCTGAGCTGAGTGAGCCTCTGATAAATACATTGTGTCACCAGGATAGATACAGAAGGAGTGACCTTGATGTAGTGCGTGGAAGACCAAATACTTCAGCCTTACCTAGTAAAGTGTATTTTTATTTCCATTGTTATTATTTACATGTCTCAGTTCTGCACTGTATTATAAATTCTATGCATAGGAGTTACTAATGTCTCTTATCTTTAAGGGATTAGCATTACAGAAATCCCTGCCTATGAATTATTACACAGTCTTTCATCACATCAGAGAACTGATACCCAAGGACTGCATCTTAGTAAGTGAGGGAGCAAACACCATGGACATTGGACGAACTATGCTTCCAAATTACCATCCCCGTCAAAGGTGTGGTATTTTCTTTGTTGTACTGACTCAACAAGCTAGATCTATGTATAAATGTTTTCATTTAGCTGAGAAGTATGATGGTCCAGAATTTTTGTAATCCTTTTTAAAGTTTCTAAATAAAAAATAAAAGTTTAGTATGTTGAGAGAGGGGTTAAGGGAAGTTTTCCCCTCACACACTGATGACCTGTCATAGATTTTAACAGTTCTCTGCGACTTGTCTGTGTGCTCTGCAAAAGAATGGTGATAGTTTCTCACTCTTTTGTAGAAAGTGAGTGAGAAGCAGCGTGTTGAATTCCCTGATGTAGATGTTTATTTCTGTGCTCAGTCTGTGATAAATATTGATTTAAAATAAAAGCAATATTTTCTTTTCAATTCTCATGTTGAAAAGAATTAATACAAAGTTTTTCTTTGAAACACACTTAAAACCGGGGAAAACTTAAGAAGAATCAACTCATTTTGAAAACTGGTTTATATATTGGGCACACTTTCATGTAAACCTGCATGCCTAAAATGTAGGCACTCAAATTTGGAAGTGTTGGTATGTCACTTTATATTAAAAGTAGACTACAAATTTAAGTAGGAATAAAGTGCTCTTTCTTGAATGGGGGGGAAAAGTTAATTCTGTCTGGTGAGGTGAAACTCTGATCTGACTGTGAAGCTTGTGCCTTCTTGTGAAAGTGGCACTAAAGTCCTGAATGAACCTAAATACTTCCCTGTAAACAAAAAACAACCAACCAAACAAAAAAACCCTACTTCCAGTAAAGTTGGGGGAAGAGTTTGCATTTTTTTCCCCTTAAATAAAATAAGGGCACAGTAATGTTAATGGTTGTCTTTTCAGATTGCATTGTGCACATCTGAAAGCAAATTTGAAAAGTGAACCCTAGAATGATCTAGTTCTTTATTATATTCAGTCAAATGTTTGATAAGACTGCAAATGTTTTAAGTGATATAAACATACTGGGACTCTAATTAAAATTAAGAACTCTCATACACTAGTTGTACTACAATAAAGAACTATTCTTGTATGCTTTTAGCTTGCATAGTCACAATATTTCAAAAACATTCAATTACTGTAGAGATAGGCAGACTACATGAAATCTTTCTATATTTAATTCCTTGAAAATATAACTAGAAGTCTGAAAGCCATCTGTTAAATACTGCTGTTCAAATTTTAGTCTTCTGTTCAACTTTTGAAATCAAATTGAAAGCTGTAATTAAGTTAGATCATTTCAGTCAGAAGCACATAATGGATAAAAATGTACATAAAGAAGTAGATTATTCTAGGGCTAAGTTTTCAAATTTGCTTTCAGATACGCTGTTTCGTAAACAATTGGTATAAAGAGATATATCTGGTGTTATGAAACATTATTGGAATAGTATATGGCAAATTATTAAAAGTAAAGATAAGTCACCATGGATTAACTTAAAAGTTTGAGTAGAAATAAAGGGATAGTAATTCTGTATTCTCCCCTTTAGGCTTGATGCAGGTACTTTTGGAACGATGGGAGTCGGACTGGCTTTTGCTATAGCAGCTGCAATGGTAGCTAAAGACCAAACACCTGAAAAGCGAGTCGTCTGCGTAGAGGGAGACAGCGCTTTCGGATTTTCTGGGATGGAGGTGGAGACTATTTGTAGGTAACTGGTTTTTGCTCAAGAAGACCCTCTTCATGTATTGCCAGGATCAATTTAACTAGAAGGCCAAGGATGCTGCTGTTAGATGGTGTACTCCTAAAAGCACGTGAAAACAAGCCAAAAAATATACGTGGTCATTTTTATGCTGTTGTGACATAATGTGTTACTAGTGATGAGTAGATCATGTTTCAGGTGGAAGTGATTTTTTTTAATTTATTTTCCTTTTAAGGAAAAGTAGCACTTCTAACACCTTACAGAAAGGTGCAAGTATTTCAGAATTCTTCCAAATACATCTTTTTGTAGATACAACTTGCCAATCCTGATTATCGTAGTAAACAACAATGGGATTTACACTGGTTTGGATGCAGATGCCTGGAAGGAGATGTTAAAGTTTGGAGATCCTGCTATATGGTGAGCATCTTCAAAGTATGTTCTGTTAATTAAGGAAGAAGTGACCAAAATGGTCATTCTCTTCACTTTTAATGCTTTGTGATCCAGATTGAAATTTTTCATAAAGTGAACTTAGTCTTAGGCTAAGTTCATGTAAGTAAGAACCAGTTACCAAAAGCAAGCAACCAACCTAATTCCAGACTATTGTTTACACAACAGTGCAGCAGAGAGATGACTATTAGTTGTCTCAGGTTCCAGCAGCAGTTCAGGCCACACAATGCAGAGTTCATAGTGGGCTAACCTCCAAAATCATGATAATCTCCAAAATTACCTGAGACTTGTGTTCTGAGTTTACACTGGGCTCCTGCTACCCTATAAACATAGCTTAAGCGGTATAGGAAATACAGTTCTTCCAGCCCAGAAGAATTCATCAGGCCAGCACAATAATCATCTTACACTTTAAAATCAGTGCTGAAGTAATTAGTCCGTCTGGCAATTCTTCCCTGCCATTAATCAGAGGTTTTCCTTCTCGTTACAGTGTACCTCCTGTTTCTCTCCTGCCAAATTCACACTATGAGGAAATTATGTCTGCCTTTGGAGGTAAAGGATACTTCGTTAAAACGCCAGAAGAATTGCAGAATGCCCTGAAAGCAAGTGTCACTGACAAGCAAACACCTTCTCTTATAAATGTAATGATTGATCCACAGTCTGAGAGAAAGAAACAGGTACGTATATGTTTTCCCTTCTTTTTCTGCAAGCTTCGTGTGGGCAAGCCTCTAAAATCCTCAGGAAGTATCAGTTAAACTGCAGAGAAGGCAGAGATAGTTGCAAGGCAGAAAGATTGTCTTTAGATTTGGTAGATAGGAGAATGGATGCTTTTACACTGTCCCATCTGCTTTCCTTGTTTTTTGTTTTTTGTTTTTTTATTTTTTTCCGTTGGCTATTATTAATGCATAGTGCCTTTAATGACTGTTCCCAGAATTTATGGTTGTTCCTTTCCATTCCTGACAAAATGAGATGAAACGTTTTTAAGCAGTCTTTATTTCCTGTGGATTCCATCTGGTACTTAATACATATTTGTATCCTGTTCCTCTTACTGTTTGTCCATTCTGATATGTTTTTTTATTCTGGTGGTTTTTTTGCTTCCAGGAATTTCCCTGGCTGACTCGTTCTAACCTGTAGCAGATGATGAAGATAATGGTGGTGCAAGGCAGTGCATTAAGCAAAACTGAATTGGTTTCCAGAAGTGGAACTGGTACAACTCTCTTTTACATAAGCATTGGAACAAAGTGGGATTTTAGAACTGCTATTAGAGGAATCTTTATTTGCTGAAATTAAGTGATTGTAAAATGAACAAGACACATATGAATGTACACCAGGCCTTCTAGCAGATTGTACAGAAACACCAATGATAAAATTGCATGCTTTTTCTTTTCCTCAGAGTCATACCCATCAAGATTTGTGAATTAAAATCTTGGATGTTCTGGATGAAGGGAGTAAGCTGAGGGTTTTGTACTGACAGAAACATAGAAGTCTTTGGCAGTCTGCAATTATAGTAACTTCATTTTTAACCGACCACCAGCATGCTACTTGTTGGAGACTTTGTCCTGTCAGGACCAAAACAAAGCATCTTGTTGTGAAGAAGTGCTGATTGGCCTCATTATGCATTGAAGCCCATTGGGTTGATAGTCACTTCGTAATTTTACCGGTTGCTTTTTCAGCTTCTACTGCATGTAGAAGTAGTGTATTAAAAATGCAGATTTACTCAAGGGCTGAGTTTGTCTATTGCATTTGGTTTTGTTAACTGGGACTTACAGTGCTTGCAGGAAAAAAAAATCTTAGATTTTTGTTTGAAGTTTTGCTCTTTGCAAAGGCATATCATCCCTGTAGGCTGAAAACAGGACTGGATTTATTAGTGAGATTTCCAGATCATAAATCTTTCTAATCAGAAGCATTTAAAAAAAAAAAAAACAACAACAAAAGAACAAAAAAAAGACCAAAACCAAAAAAACCCTCACCAGAACAAACAAACAAAAAGTGTTAGGCTGGAGCTTAATGTTCAGTTTGGCTGGCATCACAAAGCAACCACCAGCATTCACGCTGTGGCTGGCTAATTGTGCAACAAAGGTTCTTCATATGATGTACTTACTGTATAGAAACTCAGTGCCTAGCTCACACTGACTGTGATGCAGAGCTAACATTTAAAGGAGGTAATTGGCCTACCTGAGGTTCTGTCTGCTGTGTTTTCATCTGTTGTTGCATTTGACAATCTGACTGACTTCAAAAATGAAGTAGTTCTTTCTCTATGCTTCCATCATGGCCTACAGCAGCTACTATTCAGCATACTACTAAGCAGGTTACTTTATATTTACGTCTGTTCTTAAATGTACTGGGAGGTTCTCTGTTGTTACATATGTAAAAGGGAAAATTCTGGCTCTGATTTGGGTTTTGGTTGCTTTCTTGTCTATTATTCCATTGACATTAAGTTTTAGTTAACTAGTGGAAGGCACTTGGATGACCCAAGAAAGAGGCTGGCAGGGGATCCTGGCCTACAGTTAGGTTTGTTGCAAAAAGCTTGACTTACTAGTTCTTGCACTTCAGTCTGGGTCTGGCACGAGGCCATGGGTTACTGTTAGGCAGAGGAATGTCTCCGCACACTCGTGCGGAAAGATAGTATCTGACATGAGCAAGAGTACCGCAGTCTGACTAGAGGTACCACTTCTTGTTACGTGTGTGGGAATAGCCACATGGCGCTATGAATGCTTGAGTCCAGAAAGGTAACATCCTTAGGAGGGCTAAGAAGTGCAAAAAGAGGAAAAACTGTAGAATGGATACAATTCATGAATAAGTGTAAGGCTGCTGAGACGTCAGAGTTGCTATGTTCTCTGGGGTACTCTGCAAGGAATGTGGAACAACGTTGGATCTTGTCACCAATTCTGTTTCGTTCTTCTTTTTAACTCTCAAAAATTGATTTTAGTATGTTGGAGTGATTAAACACAATACCTTATGATGACGTAAAATATCTGTAAGAGTTAATGCTGGGACTGACCACAGGGGTAATCATTTGCACTAGATAAGCAAATGCAGAAATTCTTGTTTTATATTTGAAAATTAATAAAAAGTGATTTTCATCCTGTTTCTCCTTTAATGAGAGTATCTGATTTATGTCAGCATTTTGAGTCAGCCGTTGGAGATCAGCTTACGTTGGATTTTTAGAAAAGCTGTCGAATAACCACAATAACATGCACAATTCATTTTAATAAGTCAAGATGCCTGGAAAATGGAAAGCAAAGAATTTGAAAGCGTGGGGAGGCGGTAACATAATTGATAACATCAGTTTGGATTTCATTGAGCTTTTAAAAAGCTCAGAAAATAATTAACACTGCATTTCTTATAGCTTTAAACTAGACTAATACGATGATAATAATAGAAATTCTTAGGTTGTAATGACTAGGGTTTTTGAGGCGAGAGTACGCCATTTCCATATAAAACCAAGAAGAGTGAAATCTGTACTACTTTGTTTATATAGCTTACCTGCTTGATACTATGTTTTACACCAGGGAGTTGCATCTAAGAGGAGTGTTAGGCAGATGAAACTATATGAAAGAAAACAGTTTCAGAGATGAGACAGAAACAAGGTATCTCTGAAATGTCCTAATTGTATTAAAAGGACCAAAACATTACAGACGTCATAAGTCTGGGGAATGCTGACCCGTGTGGCTTTAGCCAACTCAAAATTTTTCCTCAAGGCCAGAGCATGGAATTAAAGGTATCGAACAGACTCAAGACACCAAACTCAAGAGGAAGAAAATGCCTGGGCCTCAGCTGAGGGAAGATGCTGTGGAAGAGGTACTGAGTGTAATTTACTGAGACATACCAGGAGAAGTTAGTGTTTAAATAAGGCACAGTTCTGAGTCTTTTTCTTATCGTGGCTTTCAGGTAAATAAAGAAAATTTGAAATTTTGCTGTACCTGTCATGGGTGACCTCCATCAATCATTAGTCTAGTTCCTGTGAAAACTTTTCTTACAGGGGCCTGCTCAGTTCATGTGGTTGGGAAACCCAGAAGTTCAGGCCAGCAGCACTTGTCCTCTTCAAAAGGAGGACACCGGCATGCATGAAAGGGTTTGGGAACCTGGGACCAACAAGTGGTACAGGAAAAGTATAACAGGGATGTCCAAAACCCAGCAGGCAATTTAACTATGGGACCGCAGGTGAAACCATCAGCAGCCACAACAAAATCGCCAGGTATAAGGAATAAGTAGTAAGGTTTGTTACTGTCTCAGCACCTCACAAGATAGTTTAAGGTGTTGAGTATGTGTTCCTGCAGCCTTTTGGTATGCTCAGCTTGCTAACAGGTTTAGTTTGCATATATATTTTATATTTTAATAATTATGTTTCACCTTTAGTATGCAATGAACTCTGTAGGCTGTCTGCCCTGTGAACGTTTGGGTATGTGTCATGTATGCTTGCCTTCAATTGTTACAGCCATATAGCATATATCCATTTTGATGAGGAATCAGATGTATACTTGGTCTGGCTAGATTTGGTTTTAAGCACGCATGCAAAATCCCAAGTACACTTAAAACAAGCAGCAATGCATCTTCAGGCCTGCCACTCCGTACCCGAGAAACTAGCACACACTGGCTGTAAGCTGTAGTAAAAGTCCTATTGAGAATTGTGAGTGACTTCTGCCCTGACTACTTTGTTCCTTTATAGGCTGGAATCAAAATCCCCATTGCAGTTCTTTTTATGCTATTTAAGGAGCTTGATGGCTGTGCTTAATAGAGAAAAGAGTGCTTGGCACTCCCCTGCTTAGTGATATTCTGAGGTCAGACCAGGTATCGGAGCTGATCATCCTTATGACATACAGGCAATGCGACTTCTGCCGATTTATTTACTTATAATTGAATATTGTAATGAGTCAGAAACAGCTATTCTGAAGGAGACATTTGCTATTTCTTTTGATGATTTGATTGAAACCAGATGGACAAGGTTTAAAGAGGCCCTCAGTAAAGCAGACCCTTCCAGCTAATTATGGCACACGCTAATATTAATGAGAATTATTTCAGTGTCTGTTCTTTCCAGGAATCTCTAGGCTGCCTGAAATAGTGCAGAAATAAGTAAAGAGAAATTAATAGAATGACAATTTGCTTGCTTGAGTCACTACTCTAAGAAATTTTTGGGTTTCATCAATCTTTTCAAGGGGATGATAGAGAAGATAAGGAAGCACGCTACTGAAAATGTTGCATAGAACAGTTTAATCCAGAATTTTTTTACTTTTTGTCAGCTACAGGACGTCTGAGCAATCCAGCTAGCAATTAGTTGTGTAATACCTTGGGTCAAATTCTAAAATGGATGCAGAGAAAGGATGCTTTTGAAGACAGGATGTGGATTGCTGTATTTTGGAGTTGAAGAAATGGATTAGCAACCCATCTAGGGTTGTGTAAATCACCATGGACACATGAATGTCGGCAGCTTAGAACATCTTTGCACACAGCTGATGAGAGACTTCCTCTCGTACTTAGTGTTGGTAATGCTACCACATGAGGAAGATGATAGTGGAAGACTCATATAAGCCTTTTTAGACCTTCAGTCTACACAGCAACGTCAGTTTTCGTGGCTCTTGCTTCCAGAAAGCAATCACTATTCCTGGGCATGAATTTTGTGCAGTGACTACGTGTAGCTGTTGCGGCATGAAACTTAGCGTAACCTGCAAGCTTACCTGAGAACCAAATTGTTGGGCAGAGAGGCCCTTCTGCTCTACTTACGGTGGCTACAGCGGGTTTGCGTACCTCTGCATCACCTGGCAGCTGCAGTGGTGACTGCAGTGACAACATACACTCAGGCACTCATCCAGGCTAGAGCTCCACAGTGTCCAGATACAAGTCCCTCTCTAATGAAATCAGCCCATTAAAAGTATAAAAAAAACAGTTGGCACTTTTTTGAAGTGTTTGAAGAACTTGTCATCTGTCTCCTTGGCACTGTCATTAAGATAATGTGCACGTATGGCATTTTATAGACCTTGGCCCTGGGAGGTGCTGATATCAATACTGGCGGACTTGCAGGCACACCACAAGTTCCAGCCAAAGCCGTGCATCCTTGTTACAGCAAGGAGACACGGCTGGGATTTAGGTATGAAAGCCTCATTAGCCAGGCCATAAACCTTCTGCTTGCTCTGCAAAAACAGGGATATCACTCAAGTGCTCAGAAAATAAGTAAAAATTATGTTAGGAAAAATTAATATTTCGGCCCTATCAGGGATTTTAAGCTCCCACAGATAAGCAGCTAGTGCGGGGTCTCGTTCTATGTAGTTGAAATCAGTGAGACCTTTATTACTGAATTTAGTGTGAGAGCTGGTTTTTCTCAAAGTTTTCATGCCCGTGTGCCAAATTGCCACTTGGTAAGGATGTCTTAAATACAAATGATTGAAGCTTCAAAAGTAGGACTTTGTAACAGAAATGCTAATGCAGCCTTAATTATAGCCCCCTAATTCTGCAAAGGGAGCTGGGAAAATGCGTTTGTCTAGTTAGGTTAGACTCAGCTGTTATCCTGTGTTTGGAAGACGACAACCCTGGCATACCGGAATGACTGGGCAGCGTGCAGTGCCCAGCCATTTTGTATGCTGCCACAGTAACAGAGCGGCCTGGGCTTCAAAATTTGAAGCACTGTAAAAAGGCAAAGCCTCTCCACCCATAGCCGGAACCCAGCACCCCTTGAAATCAGCATGAAATCTGCCATCAGCTTGCAAAAACACAGCAGCTTTAAAACGTAGGTGTGGGCTGCCCGACAGATAGGGTGCCAGAGAAGTCTCATGGAGTTCTGTTTGCTGTAGTGTCATGGTCAGCACTTGTGGCCAGGCTTCAAAATTTGAAGCACTGTAAAAAGGCAAAGCCTCTCCACCCATAGCCGGAACCCAGCACCCCTTGAAATCAGCATGAAATCTGCCATCAGCTTGCAAAAACACAGCAGCTTTAAAACGTAGGTGTGGGCTGCCCGGATAGGGTGCCAGAGAAGTCTCATGGAGTTCTGTTTGCTGTAGTGTCATGGTCAGCACTTGTGGCCATCCATTTGCTTAAAAAAAAAAAAAAAAAG